CAGGGAGACGCGGAGCAGCTTCTCTCATCCCGGGCCTCAGCTTGAGAATAAAGGAGCCGCCCGTGTCCTCCGGGGCGAGAAAAGCCCCGTTCGTAAGTACGGAGCTGACATAAGTTGGATCCGCGTAACTCGGGGACTGCCTGTAGTTAAATTCCTAGACTGTCATTGCTCATTAAAGGTGCTGTCACATGGTTGGAAATCAGGTAAATATTGCATTTTATTAATATCCGCAGAACTAACTTAAATGAGGCCTGCGTGTTGTGTGGTCTTGCCTTAATCTTTGTATTCATGCCCATCAGTGTGAAAGAAGCTATTTGCATGTATATGCAACCACGCTTAAGTTGTGGCCCTTGACATGAACTGTGAGTATCATTGCAGCCCCCAGGCTTCCAAAGTTGAGTAGCCCTGCCCTAATGGGTACCTGGGGAGTGCGAGGCTTGGCGTTGCGGTTGTGCTGGACAGAGGGTGGGGTGGCTCCAGCCATCCCCTATTACCTGCTTAGTGTCTCTTTCCTGGATAGTTTTCTGAGAACCACTCCAGGCACATCCCATTGTCCTGGCACAATCAAACCCTGACCTTGCTTTACGTTATGACGAGGAAGCTGTATACTGAATTTGGTGATCCTAGATCTTTAATGTTTATGGAGCGTTCTTGGACGGAAACACAAACTCTCTCAAATCTACAGCAGATGGAAAATTTAATGAAGATCAGACAAGCTCACACCTGAAATTGTTCAACCCAATATATGAATAAATTTAGTCTGCACCTGAGTTCCAGAAGCCAATAAGAGAAGTAGCTGTAGCAAGAACTTAATATTTTGATCCAGAAAGTTGTCCCCAAAAATTAAGAACATCAACTATAGCAGCTGTTGAATTGCCTTTATTTCTCTTCCATTGTGATTAATTATAAATATCGCATGAAGAAAGTCATTTGTTCCAACTACTCGTTTTAAAAATTTGAAATCAATCATCTTGACAACTCCTATAAAAGCCATGTACAAAGAAATTAAGATTCTCAATATACAATAATGCCAACCATTTTTACCTGTCTTTGATGATCCAGGTCTGCTTTGTTACCAACTAGAATCATAGGAAATTCATCACGGTCTTTAACTCTAAGAATCTGCCTTTGAAACTTGTAAATTTCTTCAAAACTGAAAAAGAAAAGTAAGGAAGATTTATATGTACAAGTTCATAACCTATGGTGTCACGAAAAATTGAAGTGGAATTACACCCATCCTACGTGGGCAGGGTGCTCCGCGCATGTGCAGATCGCTCCGTGCTAGCTCTTCCGGGGTGTAATCAACTCGCCACAGGCAAGTAGATTACACTATTTGTCGAGCCCTGTACATGGGTATGATTAAATGAAGAGATGGGGTTGCAAGTGTCCTAAAATAAGATACTGTATCATGTATGGGACAATTAGGTAACCGCTAAGCTAGCTCACCCAATTAAAATGAAGCTTAACACATCTCTGTACCGTGTAATTTATAGGACCTATTTTGATCCTGTAGAGCAGTGTTTCTGAAAGTGTTCCACAAAGTAACTTCCAGAAACATTAACTGGCCACCCCAGTTTATTTCCTGGCACCGCGGCCACGGAGCATCATGACTCCCATTGGCTCCGTTCATCCTTTGCAGCCAAGGGGAACCGGGAGAAACGGCATGGGCTGGTCCACCACTTGCCACAACTGCCCTTGGCTGCAAAGGATGAAACAGAGCCAATGGGAGCCACAAGGCTCCATAGCTGCAGCGCCAGTAAATAAACTGGGGTGGCCAGTTAATGTGTTTCTAAAAGTGATTTCGCTGATTTCACAGAGCACTTTCAGAAACACTGCTTTAGAGAACGGAAATGGAACGTGTCCCAATTAACCTAAGACTAGGGTTGATACAACTTTACAGATATCTGTTTTTCCTTGAATGGCAGGAACAGTAAAACTCCAGTGGTCCGGTATCCAATGGTCTGGCACCATCTGGAACCCGGAAGTGCTCCAAGCAGCCGGATAATTGGAGCTGCTCTGCCCCAGGCTTCCCCGAGTCAGCCGCTGGTCAGTTTCAGCCTGGGGCAGAGCAGCTGGGATGCTGCCGGGTTGGTCCCGCAGCACCGAGGGGCACACCCTCCCCCCGCACTCCACCCCAGGCCCCTCATAGCCTCCTGCCTTCCGATAGTCCAGCATATCTGATAATCTAGGACCCCCTGGGTCCTAAAGGTGCTGGATTATTGAAAGTTTACTGTATTAGTATCAGCTATGTGTATACATGTGTTGGAAAAGGTATTCCTACTTAACACAACAGAAGATTGTGTTATGGCAGTACGAGCCTTTTGCTAGTTTTCAAATATTTATGAAGGATACAAATTTTATTCTTACGCTCAAAGCACATAGGACAATTTAAATTTTTTTTTTTTCAAATACCATTTAGGATTTTAATTCTAGGAACCCAGGTTTTAAATTGCTAGCCAAAACACTCACTGTATGCAAACAGGACTACAGAGTCCAAAATTTCAGCTAGCATTCACAAAGCCAAATTGGTCTTCCCAACAAAGTCTACATGGGCACTCCCGATGTTTTAAACCTTTGCTTTTAATTATAAAACACCATCAATTTGAAGAAAATCCTCTTGCCTGGAAACACAAGTAATGTGAAAGGGCTATCCAAGTACAACAAAAGCTTTATCTGACATTTTGGTGAAATGAGGAATGCCAGTAAGTGAAAAAACTTAACTAAAAGGGAGGGAATATGGATACAGGAGAGGGCACGGGTAGGAAGTTAAGACATGGGAAGGGTTCAAGGTGCTGGATTCAGGAAGTGCTCACTTCAGGCACCTTCCCCACTAGTAGCAACCTGCCCCTGGCTGGTTCCAGCAGAGATGTACCTAGGCAGCTCAATTTCTACTAAAAACCTCACAGAAGAGTTATCAGATGGAGTATTGGCTCAGGCTTTCATGGTTGCTTTCGGACTTACCTCCCTCTGTCAGTGACCGAGAAGACAAGGAGAAAGCCCTCTCCAGTTCTCATATACTGTTCTCGCATAGCTCCAAATTCTTCTTGTCCTGCTGTATCCAGAACTGCACAAAAGTAGAAAGACTAATTACTAAATTTATGCTCCTAGTTTGTAAAACTTTACCTCCTTAACCAGTTGAAACATGATCACTCCTTTAAGAAAAATCTCTAAATGTCCCCAGCATATGAAAAATTACTTCTGTAGTTTTAGAATCAGAATCCTGGGGCTGGAAAAGACTTCAGGAGGTCATCAAGTCCATTCCCCTGCCCAAAGCAGGACCAACCCCAACTAAATCATCCCAGCCAGGGTTTTGTCAAGTCGAGACTTAAAAATCTCTAGGGATGGAGATTCCACCCCCTCCCTAGGTAACCCATCCCAGTGCTTCACCACCCTCCTAGAGAAATAGTTTTTCCTAATATCCAACCTAGACCTCCCCCACTGTAACTTGAGACCATTGCCCCTAGATCACCCCCCCCCTTTGGACCCCCCCCCCCCCATCAGGAAGTTGAAGGCTGCTATCAAATCCCCCCTCAGTCTTCTCTTCTGAAGACTAAATAAGCCCAAAACCCTCAGCCTCTCCTCATAGGTCATATGCTCCAGCCCCCTAATCATTCTGACTGCCCTCTGCTGGACCCTCTCCAATGCATCCACATCCTTTCTATTATGAGAGCCCTAGAGCTGGACTCAATACCCCAGATGTGGCCTGACTAGAGCCGAATAAAGGGGAATAACGACATCTCTGGATCTGCTGGCAATGCTCCTCCTGATGCAACCTAATATGTCATTAGCCTTCTTAGCTACAAGGACACACTGTTGACTTTCATCCAGCTTCTCATCAACTGTCATCCCCAGGTCCTTTTCTGCTGAATGGCTACTTAGCCCGTTGGGCCCCAGCCTGTAATAATGCTTGGGATTCTTTCATCCCAAGTGTAGGATTCTGCACTTTTCCTTGTTGAACCTCATCAGATTTCTTTTAGCACAATTTCTCCAATTTGTCTAGATCACTCTGGACCCTATCCTTACCCTCCAGCGTATCTACCTCTCCTCTAGCTTAGTGCCATCCACAAACTTAAGAGTGCAATCCACCCCCTCATCCAGGTCATTAATAAAAATGTTGAAGTTTTATTTCCAATGAAGCTATAGATAGCTGTCTATATTCACTGGAATCTTGCTAAGTAAAGGACTCTTTATGGCAGTGGCTCAAATCACAAGCATTAAGTCTGCATAAGCCAGACCTGAAAACACATTTGTCGCCCTTTTTGACCAGTTCATGCCAGGCTAAAATAGCTGTTGAAGAGTGCCTGGATGGGTGTCCTAAAATAGTAGGTTAACAAGAGTCTCAATGGACTAGTTTACATACCGCCTGGGTAGCACTCACAACAGTACATCGTACCAGAGCCACTGCTCAGAAAGGTCAAGAGCTGAGGAAGTTCTGTCTATACAGGTTAGACCTCCCTGGTCCAGCACCCTTTAAACCCAACTGGTCCCAGATAAGGACCTTTTTCAGACTGGGGAGGTCATTTAAAGCCCCCTGCCCCCGCCGCCCTCCCCCCAAAATCATTCCCCATGGGATTTCTGGCTCCCAACACAGCCCAGATGAGCCACTTGCCAGTTCCCTGCCCCACCTCCCGCAGCCCAGCTGAGGTGCACACCAGCTCAAATACCTTCCGCCCCATTCCCTGCCAGATCCTGATTCCCCCTCGCAGCCTGACAGCTGTGCACTGGCTCCCAGGCCCCCCACACCCTGCAGCATGCCAGGACCTTTCTGATCCTGGAACATCCATGGTCTCTACTGGACCAGAAAATCCCAGATTTTAGAGATGCAACATGTTCTAAGAAATCAAGGCCCAAAAATAAGATTTTGATTCCTTTAGGGAACAGAAACTGCAAGTGCTGAGTATCTCTAAAGAAAGAAGCTCTTGATTTACTTGCAGAGCCATAACTTCTGTTAGGCATTTAAATTGGCACTAAACCTATATAAAGTTTTAAGTTTGATCAGGTCTTTGCTAGTCAGTGAATGCCATTAAGACTGGAGCATAAGTTATTAAATGGATAATCATGAAAGCATAAATCAAAATACATAGCACAATACAGGCAGTCCCCAAGTTACGCGGATCCGACTTACGTCGGATCCGCAGTTACAAACGGGGCCCTTCCTCTCCCTAGTCTCCAGCAGACCAGGGAGAGGAAGCAAAGCAGCGGAACACGCGGCCAGCTGACAGCCCAGACCAGGGGGAGGGGGAGCAGAGCGGAGCAAAGCCGCGGAGCCCGAGGGCAGCAGGATAGCCACGGCGCGTCTGGGCTGTCCCGCTGCCCGCATGCTCCGCGGCTTTGCTCCGGACGCCTGTGGTACAGCAGCTGGGGCGCTGCCGGTTGGTCCCGTAGCGCCGCTCTGGGT